AAGCCTGAGAGATGTAACGGACCCGTTATCGTGATTGGCGAATGCGATACGCCTTCTGTGGATATTGAAAACGTGGACATTGAACTACGTAGCCAATGTCCACAGAGCCCACAGAGGGCGTATCGCATTCGCCAATCACGAAAAAGGGGGCCGTGACATCTCTCAGGCTTCTCTTTGGTAATACCAGAGAGAAACCTGAAAGCGGCCATCCCGGCGATTTGCCTGTTACCGTTTTCGAAATGGGCGTAAAGCGCTGGAATCAGTCCAGCGAAAACGGTAACAGGCAAAACGCCGGGATGGCCGCTCTCAGGTTTCTCTCTGGTAATACTTGCCCTGGCTTTCACGCGGGCCTCCTTTTATACCCTACGAGACTGGATTTTGCTTCCGAGTTTTTGGCCGCCACCATGCGCGGCCTAGCGGCGGTCGGCGAACTACTCAGAAGCTGGCGCTCGCGCGCCCGCGCGCGTAGAGATCCTCAAGTTACTAGGCGCGCAGAGAGTTGTAACGATCGATCGATCTCGCCGCACGTTTGAATTGGGCAGTGGGCCGGCCTAAGACAGCGATTTTTAATAATTAATAAATCGCTGACTTTTGCGAAAATTGCAAAATGGTAGAGGACTTTTCGACTTAGTCTAGTCCACTCTATCCCACAATAAGCGTTGATGCGGGTATTACATATATAACACCCTGTATATTTAAAAACATTTAGCTGTTATATTTTCATGACGTATAAGACATATGTGTAAAAATACGTTTATTAAATCGCCGAAATGTCTAAAATAAAAACGATATTCTAAACCTAACAGAAAAGACGTGAAAATATGTAAGTGTTATAAAGTAGTCAAGTGTTGAAATAAACATTGATCGTTAAAAAGTGTTCAAATAAAATTCATAAAAAATATTGTAAACTTTTGAAGGCTAACTTTTAAACATATAATCAAACATTTTGTTTGTATTGCATAACTTTTAGGGCATTCATATATTATAATTAAAATTGTGTGCGAAAAAATGGAATTGTCTAAAAAAAATGTTAAATTTTAAAGATTTATTAGATGTATTATACTTTGTATATATATTTCCGAGTTGAAGTTTTGGCCCTATGTTGAATCTTTAACTCTATTTGTATAGGCTGCTTTCGCGAGAAGATCAAAATGATCCGGATTAAAATGACTCTGTGCTATGATTGGTCAAATCTGAAATTTCGTAGCATCACATTGAAATTTTATTCAATGAAATTCCAGATTTGACCAATCATAGCATTTTAATCCGGATCATTTTGATCTTCTCGCGAAAGCAGCTATAGTAGGACCTAAAACAGTAAAAGAGGTCGAACTGCAAGTACAAAATTTACCCCTACTTTAAAACTGATAGTGTCGGAAATATCTATTTTTGCAAATTTAGCATTAAAGTAGGTCCTTTTAAGTAGGAGCTAAAATAAATTTTTAGAATTAAAGATTCAAGGGAGGAGTAAAAAAATATAACGTCATCAAAGTAGGTTCTTGCTGGTCTATGTAGGTGTATAGATCAGCTAAGTAGGTGTAAATTATCCTTAAAAGTGTCAAAATAATACAAAAATTTCGACTCGTCGAGTTGCTTGATATAATTTATCTAATAATAAATAGTTTTAATACAAATAATTCACGTTTCTCTGAAAAAAGCATTATTTTCCGATGGCTTTTACAGTTAACGTGTTGATATTTGCGATAAGGGATTATTATAATATTATTTAATATAATAATGTATCATATAATAATATACGTGTAACGTAATATGATATAATAATAATATAATATTATATTGTTCATATGCATATGTATCTTTTAAAGTAGGTTTTTACATTTATTTTATGTAGTACGTTTTGTTTAGCTATCAAGATGTTAGTTTCATCTTTGAATAATTTATACTACCTTAAATAGACATTATTTCTCTAGAGTAAAGTAAAAAAATAATTTTTTATCTTTGTGGACAATAAGATCTGTTGCACAGTTAGAAGAGGCTTAATATAAAAATGGTATTTAAAAGACACAAAATAAGTTTGATGTTTCGCCGTCGAGTTACAAATACGAAGTTTCTCTTCCTCGATGATTAAACGTCCAGTGATTTTAATATCGCGATGCAGATATTTTTCATTTCGCGTTGCTACGCGATAATCTGAGCCGGTAGAAACGGAAAGGTATTGTAGACGTATACAGGTCGATTAAACGCGAAGGAATTGGCGATCGCCAGTGCCGGATTCGTCTCGAAATCGTCCTCGGGCTGTTCGCTCGGTGCTGTCGTTGGTTCCCTGCTGCGAGGTGTTGTCGTGGTTTTTACAGTGGTAGTTGGTGATCGCGCTGTCGTGGTCGTGGTAAATAACGGGTCGCGATAGGTAGTTGCGGTATCCGGGGGTTCGTAGCTTTGTAATCCTGGAGCACCGTAATACGCATGCAATCGATTGTTGTTGGGATTAAAACGCCGGCCATTAGGACGCCAGCCCCTGGGCTTGTACCCCGATAAATCTGACGTCACCGCCAGTCCGATATAAAGGAGGACGAGGATGAGCTGAAAAAAAAATACAGAATCGATTTAAATAAAGCGACAGGGGCGATGCGACACGCGCGCGAATGGTGGAGCGACGTCGGAGCGTTGTCCTCGTTCGTTTATCAAAACCACGGTGTTTATTTCGAGGATATCGAAAGTTATATCTTTATTCATGACGCTGTTCGTGTATCCAGAATGTATACACATCCGCGTTGGTTTAAAATAAAAATGAAACGTTCAAATTGTAATTTTGTTCATATGATTACAAGATCTTGAAACATTTCAGCTTACAATTAGCCACGTTCAGCCTAGCCAAGATTCACATATATTTAAGAACTTTTGAAAATGTAAGACATTTTATCGCGAGCTTTGGCCCGTTAAGGTACCAAGACTTCGTAAAATTAATCTTCTTGTCAAATAATATCGTTACAGTTTCTAAACGTTTTGTTCGCGATATAAAGCAATTGTCTATCTCGGGTGCCGTTACGCCAACAGCGGATCAGCACTCTTGGCGAAAGCACTATCATTGCGCGCACTCTCGTTGCATTACTATCATTATCCGGCGATCATATTGTTCACGGATGTTCCTCGGCGTATCAGATCCGCTGTTAACGAGGCCGATAGTTTCTTCAGCAACGAAACGCACGGTTATATCCGCGGAATTTAAACGCGGAAAGCGAATACTATTTTACCGTTTCCTTCATCTTTGCCGACGTTAACACCGCTGCTTAATAACGCGCGCCGAAAAACCTCGGACTAGTCTTTGCCGAATCGCCGATTCCGTTTTTATATGCGAGCGCGCCGATGTATGAGATCGGCTGCCTAAGCTCCGTGAATACGAAACAAGGTGAAGACGAAGACGATTTCGTTTTTCGCTACGCCGTTTCGTAATGCGATGTTACCCATATTACGTGTTAAGAATGTTCGGCGGCGGCAAAGTGACGTCTGTCGTTATATTCTGGATATACGTCAATTTTACGTCGAACGCACGGTCCAGTTGGTTCGGTTCCGCACGGAGAAACGGAACGGCAGGGAAATTGTGGGGCGCAAGACGGAATCAAATATGATCGAGCGTGTTCCTCGGCACGTTTGCATGCTCCATAACTGTCCAATTTTCATATCTGAGCTCTCGCAGCGCCCTTGATATATATTGGTAAACAGATAATGCGGCATAACGTTTTACCATGTCGTGATAGAATATATTCCGCGGTACGTTTCTCACCGCGTAGAGCAAATTAGCGATTTGGATGCTGATAAACGCGCCGCGCTCGAATTCACACGGCGGTAGCAGCAGCGGTGAGCTTTCACAGGGAGATAAAATATTCGGGTTTATACGCGAGATAAATTATCGCACCTCCCCTGCGTACACGCTTCTGGAGTTTAAGGTACTAGGGTCACGATTAGGAGGGATAATAATTAGATTTTATCGATTTATGCATTAGCTATGTGCTAAGAGCGGCAACCAATTCATATAATAATAACGTATGCACTGGTATCCCTTGAGGGCCGGATCGATGTTTTTCATCATGTTTTAAGCGAGAGCGAGAACGCGTCCATTGTAGTAGCGAGTGTTGTAATGGCTTGCGTGAATTAAGGACGTGCCTGGAATTTAAGACCGCGCGCAGCTGTAATGCATACCTTATGAATTCGCGAGATCGCCAGTCGTTGCTTGCCCGCCTAATGTAAATGCGCTCGGGGCGATCCAGAAACGTGGCGGGCGAATTAATCGCCGGATTGACAGTGAAGTCGAGTGACGACGTTAATTAGGATTCTGAGCTGTCCACGCTCAGAACTCGCCGACTCGGTCGCGTGTCATCGATCGCGCATCACGACCCCGCGATACGACACTTGCTCGCGACACTTGCTGTTTGTCAAAGTTTTCGTTTGCCTTGAACCTGTCTCACTTTGAATCACTTCTGTACAAATGTCGCTCGTCGCAAACATTTGATATAGAAGGTACAGTTTAAAACAACGAGACGTGGACTTTGAGGGCCAAAACGCGGTTATTTTCGCTTGAATTAACTTTAAGCAGTTCTTGATGGATATTTTAACATCGGGAGTCTTCAATTATTTCATCATTTGTCAGATGCAGTTTAATTAAATCTTAACAAGAGATCAATTCTGTGATATGAAGCTTAAATCAATCATTTTTCCTTCGATCCAATTTCTTGTTGGAAGAGCCGTTCCTCTGCTCTTAGGGCGTAGAAATGTTTGCGCGTAAAGTTTCTGCTTAGCGTACACTTGCGCGCAAATATTTACTGCAAATAAGAGAAAAGGAAACGACAGAAATAATTTCTGTCTGAAAAATCTGACGTGTCCAACTTACGTGTTCGCGCGACAAGAAAGATAAATAGAAAAGACGAGCGCGCGGCGCGCTATCGCGCGACTCGCGGATTCGAGATAACAACGCTGTCGCAGACAGACGACATGAGTGTCGGGTTGATCGAAAGCATGCGATATAATAGCCCGCGCGTCGAGAGAACTTTTGTTCTCTGATTGAGTATATCAAGTATTCTGGTTGAGTAACAAGTGGTAGACGCGTTCGTCATGTCACGCGTCAAACGCAGCGTATTATGCGGCGTTCATTTCCATGGCTTTGTGTTATCTAAAAACAACGCTGAGGTTGTCCTCCTCTCCGTCGATGAAGGTTCCGCGTAGGCACTCGAAATGGCTTCTCCTATTCATCTATGTGCGCGTGGCGGAATCGATACGGCGAAACTTTTACGTCTCTACATGATTTTTCGACGAGCTGAATATTTGAGGCGATCGCGCAAAAATGAGAATTTTTTAGTGTTGAAAAAAATTAAAATTTGCGAAACATAGGGACAGAGGAGGGAAAAGAGAGGGGAGACTTTGACGGAGAAATATTATATAATTTTGCCTCGCGGTTACATTTATAGCGACATAGTAATGTTAATAAATGTAATATTTATTCTTTCGCGATCAACCATTACCGATAAGCTCCAAGCTTTACATGACATGTTTTAGTGTTGCGTGAAACATGAGAAATTTATATAGTATTTTGTGACCGTTTATTCATCTATATTTAAATATAAATTTATTTATATTTAAAAATGTATTTTAAATTCTATTGGAATGCGTCTGTGCGCCACCGTTTGTTAATTTATATTCGCACTTTATTTGCCTTTCTCATTTTTCACAATGTATGATTTATACCGGTTTTTAAACGCACGTTGACATAAAAGGTCAAACAAGAGACTTGTCGCGTAAAATGTTACCTCGACAGATTTTTTGCAGTGTCAATTGTTTGCCATTTTGAATGCATTCAGCATCTAATGTGTATATAACGGAATTATATCAGAATGTTAGGTACAATTAAGTAGAAGTCACGACAAATTGGCGATCATACATCATTCCTAAGAGGGAAAATCGTCAAGGTTTAATTTCAATGTTACGCAAGATCCCCCCTTGCTTACATTTTTAGAGGCCGTTCTGGGTGGTGCTAAATCCTTTTTCCTACCATACTGTAAAGTTAATCTTGTCGGAGTAATCTCGTTCCATTTTATGGTAGAGGCAATATCAAAGTATGCCATATTACTTGTTGGTGGGAGTCCCTTTCGTAAAAGAAAAAAATGTAACATACTTACGGTTCTACGTTCCCGTAAAAAAAACGACGTGTAATTTATATCTGCGCACAATGTGAGATTAATTCCTGTTTTTTTAGATCTTTATTAAAATATAGGATTTAGATGAAACTAACACTTTGATGAGAAATTGAAATATGATTAAAATTACGTATAACACAGTCCTGCAAATTTCAGACCCGAGAAGCAGACTATGCGCTTCCAAGGGATCTTGACGTGCTGAAACCAAATACGTCTCCCAAAATTTTTCATCACGTCAGAACTCGGAGACTATTTTGACCTAAATATGCTAAAATGGCTACTTTTTGGTCCTTTTAAAAGTGAATAACAAATTCAAATTTTGCGCGAAAAAATCTATAAATGACGGCAGTTAACCAAGGAAACATAATAAAATTAGTGTCAGCTAAGATCATCGTTATTTTATGGTAAGGGTCACTCTATATGCCTCAACATAAAATTGGACCTTAGAAAAAGTATTTTCATGCAGGCCGGTGTAATCGAAAATTTATCAGTATTGAAAGATTTGTTATTACTTGTGTCCATTAATTAATATTATAAGTTAACTGATTAGTTTCTGGAACGCCATCGACGTTTTTCTCAATTCTCATGGTTCCTTCATACTGAACCTTCTTCTTCGCATCTTGTCGTCTCTGCTCGTCTTTCGTTACAACGGTCAAGATGAAACCGACTAGTAAAGCCGAGCACAAACCGATGTGCACCGGAATATCGCCGTACGCGTTCAATAATAAACCAAATATTGTAATAAGTATAATGCCGTAAATGCTGGTCGTTATATTGAGAAAGCCCGCAGGTATGTTCTCCGATTCTGGATACGTAAATTCGGTGCACAAGTCATACCCCAACGCCAGATATCCCGACATGAAGAATCTGTGACAAATAATAATAATGTAATAGATACATTATCCCCTAAAAGATTTTAATAAAAATGATAATGTTTAAAATAAATCGACACATATTGTACAAATGTCGATACGTTACCCCAAAAATATCGCTGACACATAAACCATCCATTTTATACCAATGCAAGTAAACACCGCGAACAGTATTTGGCCGCATAACGTAAGAAAGTATACGGTCACGGCAGTTTCTCTGGAAATACAAATTATTAGTGGACGTTTCTAGAATAAATGCAAGGTACATTTAACTCTTTGAAGCATACATTTTTCTATTAAACCATTTTTTGTGAAACTTTGTATATAAGGGTTTTCGGGGTCGCTGATTACGAATCCGTTATCAGACTTTTATAATTAAAAATGGCGGAATTCGAAACTTAAAAGAATAACATCATTCGACTGTAATTCAACTATGCTAAGAAACATTATTTAGATATTATTAGGACCCATGGAATCTAAGTTTCCAGTTGAAAATTCTTATAGAATATAAAAAATAGCGCGCGCGAAATGGCGGATGCAAACTTGAAATTTAATAATTTCTTAGAATTTACTCATTCTTGGCACTACCCAGAGCTAACGACGCGGACGTGATAAGTCCCTAAATACCGTAATGAAACGAAAATGCTGAAAAACTTGAAAACTTATAAAATTCACGTACCTTGTATCCGCCATTTTGGATCGGCCATTTTGAATTTTGAAAAACCCCTTTGTACAAAGTTTTCAAGAAATAATCTTAGAAAACTTGGTCAATGATGATTTTTTCCGAAAAAATTGCTGTTTTTTCACATTTGTTAATTTATAAAACTTTTACAATAAATATTCAAGACTACTCAACTTTTTTTATGTTCTTTTATTGCTAAGATACCCAGAAATTGCAAAAAACCCGATCTAAATGCGTTAACTAGAAATTAAATGGCCAAAAAGCAAAGAAGATGAGGTGGTAAAGTGGGTTACCACCACTCT